ACCATCGCTTCGTGCAAGCTAGGAACAAATGTTCGACGACCATTCGGAGAACCAAAGAACGCTTCGTTTGCCGTAAAGCCGAAAGCCTGGTCTCGTCCGCCACCGGTAGCCGAACATTTTGGTCCCTTGCTCAAGCAATTTCCCGTATTTTCTACTCCTCCAGCTTCCCCCCTAACTGTAACTTCTCTGGCGATCTTGTGTGTCAACCCCTTTACTGCAATTCAGATTATGTAATAAAAAAATACAAATACAAATGCAATCAATGAAGTAAGTAGGTTTTGAGACAGTTTTCGTGTGTCTGTCATCTGATCTTAATCTGTAACAAACGACATCCTCATGTGACAGATTCACACGGTCACAAACCAGTCATTTCCAGCCAGGCTCTTTTGTTCTTGTTCCCTGTTGGCTCCGTTCATAGTGTATTCCAGTTTGCTTGACCATTGTCATGTGGGCTAGTCGCCTAGCGCTTCGCGCCTTACTTGAATTTGCTGTCCCGGGCTGGAGATCAACAGATGACGTGCAGACGAGGCAATAGTAAATACACAGAGCGATTAGGTGGGATAGGTGTCTCCCGTCTTCCAGCCGGGATCCAGAAGATTGCGTAACTGGTTGTTTGGAGACACTGAAGGACATGGCAACCAACCGACAGCAGTGGTGCTGTTGTTTTCGCATTTTATCAGATCATCGTGCTTCAAAAAGTGTGCACGGTTGAACTGTGTACTCTGTATGTTGACCATTAAAACCATTTTCTTCAGCTCCTCTCTAAAAATAGGCTCCATTCCTGATCAACTTATGTATTTTCACTGACCTTGCATGCGTTGTGAGTTTAGTAGCGATCATTAAAGTTTGGTTCGCTGTATTTCCACTGTACGATCTTGACGATGATATACTGACCCCGCTCAGTTCCTGTCTCGTATTTTTCCCATTCTCAGACATGGATGAAAAGGGCGTATTCACTTTGACCACATCAGAAAGTGTACTGGATTGGGATGCATTGGAGTTGTTCTTGGAACAAATATTGCCCACAATGAACAAAGCGTGTCAACGAGAGGATTGCCTCATCCAATTCGAATCGGCCTTGATAAATTGGGCCCGATTGTTTCTCCAGACGCTGTCCGCTGTGAATGATCCGAATGTGCGTGGCAAGGTGCTCATGTGCATATCTGTGGTAATGCAACAGTTGGACTCGAAATACGACACGGAATTCCTGATTCCATTTTTGAATAATGTGAGTTTAATCAGTCGATTTTCCCTTTTTTATTTGCTCAATATTTTGTGTGCCTGTTCATAATCCAGATTGCTGAACCTAACCACTTGAGTATTTTTTTAAGGTGCCGATTCCTCCTCGAACACTGACTGCGTTTCCCTGGATCCCTTATTTTCGTACCCCCCTCCCCCACGAATTGTGCAGACTGTTGAATCTAGGCTGAAGAATGTCATGGAGAAATAGGTCCTCTTCATCATTGATTATTGCAGCTATTTGTACACATATCTCTGTAAAACAGTACGCTCACTGCTGTACTGGAAAAGTGAAAAATGTCATATAAAACGACGAATTTCCACTTTGAAATTCCTCTAGAACTTGGTCACCTTCCTATATTTACTGGATCCATGACATTTTCAAGACTGAGACAAGGACCCCATACTATACAGGTGATGGGGACGTCCCATAAATGTTGAAGGTCTTATACTCGTTGAGGTAAACTTCCTCCTGACTGCTCTCCATTTCTGTAGAGTGACTGATGTTAACTGACATAAGTTGTTCGCTGGGAGCAAAATTTAGCAAGTGTAGTGGCGATGAATGCCAGTTGAACTATGCTCTCAGACGTTCTACTCATCTGTTTAGTGACGTTGACGAATGTGATACAGTGTGTTGTCGGCCTCTTCAATTGGCTTAATTGCGTTTAGTTCCCGTGGACCTGTATTTCCGATCAAACTACTGTCAATAACCACAGCCTTCTCCATCTGTCTACGTTTTCCTACTCACCACTTCTAGTGATCATTCCCCAGACTATTGATGGGCTGGCGTTTGAACTATACGCTTCCTCGGCTGAAGCAAGTTACGGTTGGATGAAGGATAGGGTCGACCGGCTTGTGACTTGTCCTGAAGGTCAGAAAATTTTGACTGAAGAACTTGATCATGTAGGATGGTGTCTTACAGACTGCACTAACCAATGCTCAGGATCATCAGAATATGTGGCTGAGTGCCATTGCAATTCAGAAGTTGGTCATTTTCTGCACACATTCAGTTTATCCTCAATGTATGCCTTTATCTAGGTATAAATATCAGTTTTTCATTTGATCTTAATAACTTCTTCCCTAAACAGCCAAACATCTTTTTGAAAGACAGCAATCTAAACCAATTCACGAGAGTACGAGGTTAGTTGTTTGATAAACTGCAACAGCACATTCATCTTTGTTTAATGAGCAATGAGAAAGGGATAATGGGGGTCCACATTCTCATAGTTGTTATGCAATCGATCACCGTCCATACTACTTGTTACCCTCTATCTGTATCTAACTTCATCCATTCGACAGATCTTCGCCTCGTTTCGTTATGTGGCACCGGCTGAGGGGAACCCGAATCCGTTCTATCGACCTAATTGTGTCAAGGCCATGCAACTACTTGCAGCCACTGCCTTTTTCCGCTTCGTAAAAACCGTTCCAGAACGTGTCATGGTAAGTCTCGGTAGAGTTCTACTTTGAATTTTTGCACACCAGGGTATTCGAGAAACTGCAGTACAATTGCTGACATAGATATACTTTTGGGGCGATGTAAATGCGTAGAGAAAGAGAGAGAGCATCATCGTTGAATTCCAGCAATCGAGAACGCTCCATAGAGTGGATCTCATCTGTAGATTTTGTATCTTATACATAAAATACTTGTTCAGTTTTAATGCCACCATCTTTACCCATTGAATTTTTCTTAATTGTTTGTTTGCTGTTGTGACTAGTAGCTCCAATCAGTGAATTTAATCAGCAACGAGGGGAATTGTTGCAACCGCCGACCCCCCACCCCGTCGGCCAATCAATCTGATTACGGTGTATGATTAGGCTATTCTCTGAAAATAATGTATTTTCTTAGTATATCAAAGCAAATTCTGCAATCAGAATTCTGTCTCTCAGATAGCTTCCTTCTCATTTTCTCCACAAAGCGACATTTCCAAGAGGTGGCCACTGAGGTTGCCACTCTGTGGTCTGAATCGGTGAGCGGAGTGGTGGAGAAATCTGTACTGTTGGAGTCACTCATCTCTCTTTGGTAAGTTATTCCTTTCCCCTTTGACTATATTTGGTCATAAATCCGATTCGATCTCCACTGTACACACAGGCATCTAGTCGGGTAATGATATTTGCTATTCCTCGTACGCCGTCAAACTCAATCGGTTATTCCTGCTCACCCTCATTGTGATTCCCTCATCCAAGGGAGGAGGATACGGGCAGATTTCAGTAGTTGGAATCCGCGTTCCCAGTTGATCCATCGTTTTATAACAAGTGACAATTTGTGGCCTCGCTGAACACGAATTCCTTTTTTTGCGTAATCTATCTGTCCCACCTGAGTAACATATAAAGACTGTCTGTTCAGTAACAGCTAGCTATATAGACAGTTGCAGACGTTATTTTTCATCGGCAATCGACCACTATAGTGATACAGATTGGACGCATTCAGTGTTCGGCATCCTCTCGACTGAAGAGCGGTAGTCAGTCGACTACAATCATCTTCACTTTGAATTCTGTTGTTGCTGTTGGGTATAGAGCAGTCAAAACTTATCCATCACGTCCTTGACTAGGAGAATATGACCTTGTTCAATGTTCCGTGCTTTATTGTTATTTTTTGCAACAAATAGCCTCATTCTATTTCACTCCACGTCTTGATCGCGCCTTTTCAGAGAACCTGGATTTTCGCAACAACCATTTGTATTGTTGCCCGGAAACATTCAGATATGGCTTTGGATTGAAATCACTATCCTGAATGCATCTCATCTTGTGTGCTGTCCCAAAAGTAGAAAGACAAAGGGTCGAACTTGTCTACAGTAGACACGGAAAAAAATGTTTTTTTTAACCGCCGACACCGAAGAAAGGAGAAAAAAGTACAAACTATTATTATAGCACGAACGGTCTCGATTAGGGTCCTATACATAGCCCGTCAGAATCAAAACGTCGAGAAAGACGGTAAGGAAATGATTGCTATTTTCTCTACCTTGATCAACCATTCGATTAGGGACCAATCACGTGATTTGGGTCAGCCTTGGTTGGTTCGCTTTGTTGCCAGGGGAATGGTTTATCCCTGATACTAAAATCTATGCATTCACTTCAAATTCAATTCACGGTTTCAAAATTTTTCATTAGAAATAGGGATTTAGGGCAAAAGCAGTAAACCCTGTAGTTAATCAAACACCATAAGCGGGTGTGTATGTGTAACGTGGGGAGGAACGTTCAGACAAGAACCAATTGATTGATCATGCTTTGAAATAAGAGAAAAGGTTTTAAGCTGTTGGAAATACGAAAGCGGATGAGCGTTGGATAGTTTTGCAGTCATGGGTGAAAAGAAAGACAGAAAGGTTGATTCCCAACGGCTGTGGACAGAAACCTGATAACACTGACTGATCCCTTGTGATTGAGATAGACAGGAAAAGACATGGCAAGGGCAACTGTCGAATCGAGTTCTATAGAATAGGCACACACATAGTAACGGTAGAAAAGTGATAAGGAGACTTTGTCCATCCTAATGCACAAGGCTCATCGGCATATTTATCATTACACACGTGTAGATCATTGAAATTTTTCGCAACGTAGTGAAAAATACTTGAATGCAGTGTTAGTCCCGAAATAACGGCAAGAATGTTTTGTCACAGGGGTTTTCATCTCACCACTCCCCAACGAAGCTTTGGTAAGATAAATGGCAGTTGTTCTAGTGTAGAGCAACTTGTATTTACATCTACATGAGGAGGGCATATCTTCAGTGAAACGATTATACAGTTCAACGGTTGAGTCAAATGGGATTGGTTGCCGAAGTTGTTACAGAAGGAAAAGTGTAGAGGTGTGATTGCATTCCAGACCGACTGGTTTCAATCACCTACCACTGGTGACACTTTCTTCCCCGCTCAATGATCCGTTTCATATAGACAAACCAGCCATCCACCAAACACCGGAGCGTTTAGGGGCAAGGTATTTTAGTACTTTCTTGAATTTAAAGACCACCAATTAGCATGTGTAATTCTTAGGTTGATGCACCCGTTATGCCCCTCATTGGTATTGATCGCTCTTGCACCCCAGGAGAATTTCTTAAGACTTATTTACAATTAAATAACCGATAATCTCTTAAGTCGGAATGACCGAATCGCATGTGACCATATCGCAATTTGCCGGAAAATAAATATTAGCCACGAAAAAGGTGTCTGATGTTGGTGTAGAGTTTAGAAACCACGATTGTGGCTGTTTTCACGGTTAAGTTTCTAATTTTTCTTCATTAGTTTTAATCTATGTTTCTCCTATTCCTCTGCATGATACACGCACACAATTTCATCGGCCCACTAGTTTCCGTATTCCTCAACCGGTCAGTGTTCAGAGCGATCTGCTCAAGCAACTGTTATCCGGTGCATTGGCGCAATGGACACCCAATTCCCCGGATCTCTCGGAACCAATGGGTTCATTGCTCCGGTCCTGTTCCACTGGGGGCCCCGGTCTGATAACTGCTTTGGGGTTGGATCAGCCTGTTCAGTGCCTGAACGATTTCAGTTCTCTACCGGTACAAACTCGGGTTACTCTCACTCGTAATGTTCTCACTTTAATGGCCGCGGTTCGAAGGTTGTCCGATCCGGTCCGAATAGAACAGGTGAGTTCGTCTGTCATCATGTTTTACTATTATTATTATTATTATTATTATTATTATTATTATTATTATTATTCCACATATGATCGTCGCCGTTCTGAAGCTCTACACACCCTGGTGTATGATTAGGCAGCACCGAGGTCACCATCGTTCAGTGAAATGCATCGAAGCCGCCCCACGAATCGCCGCGAAAACTGTATACATAAGAAATAACGACAGGAACGCCACTGCAATCGGTTTGCTACCACTTCTTTTACTATCACCAACCGATCAGTTTCGGAGTTCAAATGGTTTTTTGGCGGATTGAAGTCTTATGTTGAAGTTGTGAAAAGTTCAGTAGGCTCGGTGGGATTCGAACCGATGCATGGATACCGCCTACGCTTCTGTACAGTGCACGCTTTACCAGCTGACCTACGAAGCCACACCGATAGCAGTTTCAGAGTGTTTTGGATCCCTACCTGAAAGACAACGGATGACTACTCTACCTGCTCTGTACATCGCCTCATTTTTTTCATTACACACCCGTGTGTGATGAACAACAGACAGGGTGGACCCTCGTAGTCGCGAAGACCTACTGTTCAGTGATGGAGAGCGGCAAACTTAACCCCAGAATGGACAGTCAAGATAAGGAATCATTACTCGCACCCCGAGAGGTAGATAATCAGCAACCACATAACTCCAGTGTGCCAAACAACGGGAAATGTGATACAGCAATTAAAAAAGTAAAATGGACATCACAAAACTAATGGCATATTCATCATCGGTTTAGATTAGCTTTTTGAGCAGGTTTTCTGCAACGAGTTTATGAGAAATCTGACGAGATACGGGACAGTAGAGCACCTCTAAGCCTCACTGTATGCCGCTATACGTTTAAAACGGGAACAACTGAATAAGAAAGGCACTGACTCATAGCAGGATATAGAAAATGGAAACAATTAGATAAAATCATCTGGAAGTATGTTTTTCAGGCCTTGTGGTGGTGTGCCACCATATACTGTACCAGATTGTTGGAAAGCAGCAGTTGGAAGACAGCTCATTCCTTCAGAACAACTTGTGAAACTCCATCAGGCTCAGTTCAGGCTCGAGTTCATTCTTGATAAATTTCGGCAGAGTCAACGCTGGAACAGGATAGATTATGTTCCGGTGTTGATGACGCTTTAATTCAGACCCTCTTTATCCATAGTAGCAGGTGCGCGGCGTGACTATTTGATGCCGGAAATTCGCATGAAGAGTTTCCAAGTCCCATAGCTACGTTCATTGTCAAGCTGAGCACGAGCGTACACGGAGATGAGTCTGCGAAGTTCAACCTGGATGGATTTAGAAAGATTGCGCTCCTCATTGTGCTTAGGCATCTTGAAGCCACACTCTTTTCTACAACTGTATTTTAGGTATGGGGAGGAGAATCGATCGAGGCGAATGCAGATTGTTTCTGAGGTACAACAAACATAACAAAAGTTTTGGTAACTTGTTAAGTGTTCACAGAAAATGAGAGGGTTAGAATCTGAAATGAAAGTAAGTTTGGAGTGACCGATCATCTCCCCCAGCCTCATGAGGTTCACTAGAGAACACTGTCTGACTTGAAGCTTGTGATCACGGAGTCAGGTAAACAGACGGTGGTTGGTTCTGGTAAACATTCTAAAGTAGAATTTTAATATAGAGTGATCAGACATCCTTAATTGGTGGAGGTGAGGTGACATTCTACATAAACTAGATGGTGAGAATTGACCCAACGACAAACTTAAGCAAAAGTAGTGAATTGAGCCAACTTAGGCGAGCATCGCTTCTGGTTTTGGACACTCTTCTGAGCCCACCGTGGAACCTTACTCAACCTGAATTCGGCGAGTAGAGTGACCTAAGTACGTTACCATACTTCTGGGCAACATCAGTCTCTAATGATCCTTTTGTGTGCGCGAAATGAGCCCACTGACCTACTTTCACGAAAGTCCTTACGTCAAAGGCCCCAGATTCAGAGTTCGACGTGGCTTCATATCCTCCAATTTATTCGATGGTGCACCACCTACAATGCTGTTTGACAACGACCTTAGGCAGGTGGCAAAGGGATTGTCTGACAGGATGCAATCACCCGAAAGGAGAGATTTAAGGGAGAGAATGGCGAGGTCTTGGGAGAGAAGATGAGAAAGCAAACAAAGGATATGTAAGCAGTAGTCCATTTATCACTGTCCACCCTGCTGGATGCTATGAGTACTACGGTTACGGTTATCCTGCGCGACGACCGATGCAGTATGGAATTCATGTAAGTGTGTTCATCATAGCTTTATGAACGAGTACTACTAAGGAGTCCAACCACGAAGTAAGAGGACCACCATTCGTGCTCTTAGCTCAGCCTTCTATCCCTGATACGAACAAGGATGCGGGTGTGATGAAGTGGATCGATTATTGCACCCTAATTTTCACTGACTGAGACAAACTCCGGTCGAACCCCAATTTGGAAGACTCGGAGTTTGGTTTTTGTTTAACCCCCGACGTCTCATGTTTCAGTCATGATTTGGTATTTTAGCCTGATAAAAGTCATCCCTTATCACAGGGGTGCACAGGCCATCCCACTTTCATTTGAGATGGTTGTTAAAATGCGCTTGTTTTAGAGTGCCGTTGCTTCTGATACTCAACCAACTCTATGCTGATCCTCTGTCATTGTGATAGGAAGGATTCCGTTGAATTTGTGGTTCTACTTCACACGGAGTAATCGATTAGCTGTTGTATCTTTTAGCCAAAGTCACGAAATGTGGCCACTGCTGAGATAATTGTAACAGACTTGAACTCGACTGCACAGCAGGATGGACCACGAAATTTGATGCGTGAGTCAGTTGAATTTGGGATCAGCTTGACCGTGGGCTGTAACCGTTGAGGTTATCCGTGGATCAGGTTCACTGACAATTTGCCATGAGCGAGAATTCAAGTGAGCATGAACCAAACGACCCAGCGCAATAGAACTTCAGTTTACCCTCAGACTGAAACGACAAGTTCCCAATCGTGTTCAAAAGATCATCTGAGCCCATACGGAGGAAGACGGTTTGATCGGATTACTTACTTTTGAACGACAAGAGCAGTAAGACTGGCAGTGTGAGGACCAGTTCTGGTTCCAGTTACGAGCACCATATACCGCTTGTATTCCTAGTAGTTGCATATTCGTCATGTTCGTATTGCCTCAGGTCCGCAGTTGGCCTCCGAGTTGGCAACGCCATCCACAACAGGGTTCGGGGGCTATAGCCTGAGGTGAGAGTTGAGTGTCGGGCCTTTGGAGCACGTGACCAAACCATTGAAGACAGCGGTTTATCAAAATACCTTTGAACATAAGTATCTTCTGCATGGCATCAAGTCTTCATCCTATTTAACCGTCCAAAGTAGACTATTCAGCACCGAACGTTTCTCAAATTGGCGATACCAATCGAGTCTTCCGTATACTTGCTTTGATATTATCCGTTATTCGTCCACCAAACGAGATGTAGGTTCCCACGTCGCATGATTCGTCTACCTCCTCGAATCACACACGCATCGTTTTGACACCAGACTTTAGACTTTAATTTTTAAGTTCACGCTTGCTCAACCCCGTAATCTGGTAAAAACCGATGACTAAGCTGTGCAAATCGCCTTCGTGGTCGGGCTGAATTCACAAACTCACTTGAGACACTGTCTTCCCTGTCGAATTCTTTCTGGACCCGGTTTGAAATCGTAGTTCACTCAGCCGCGCATTTCGTTCATTCGTGTTTGTGTGCAAACAAATGTCCAGAGATATTGTCCCTTCTGCCATAAACATGTGTGCTCTTTTATTTTCGTGTTTCAATCTCAGTCCTGAATACCACCACCACGGATCCCTGTTCTCATGTTGTTTGTTCTGCTTTCAGCTTGAACAAATCACAGTCCCTTTACTGGAACCGGTCACACCATCAGTATTGATGCTGCTACGGTGAGTAGTTCTATTTCACACTGTTTTCACTACATACCCCCAACCTGTGTGACCTCATTCTGTTGACTGTGAAGCCTGTTACAATAGCTAGACCTCTAGTGTTTTGTGTGATTTGATCCAAAGGAACCCACTGGATTGTCACTGTGTCAAAGGGTGTAGCAATAAAGGAGATACCCCTCCTGGAATATGAGAAGTCTGCTTACGAAGAATCGCAACTCATCAACCTTTTGTAATAGAAAGATTGTTCAGTACATAAAGTCTATGATTACCATAACTCCCAACCTTTAATGGTTCATGTTCCCACAGAACAGTATACTACGTGTTGTTTTGTTGTTGCGTTTCACACGTACCACATACGCGAACAACGCAACGATTTTTGATTCTTCTGGAATCGTCCCATATCGTCTCGTATGCAGGTCAATGCAGAATACTCAAGTGTCGTAGAGTGGGGGCAAGGTGGTTGACTACCGGGCACTCACTGTGTGCTACTATACGTTGTTTCACTGCCAATTATGTGCCGTTATACGAGTTTCATTCACATGAAAATGTAAAACATGTGATGTCTAATCTGCCGGTTTTTCCAATCATGTCCTGTAAATCAAGTTCACTGTAGTGTGTTCCATTTATCTCGTTCTATCTCCCTCTCTCTCTCATCTTCTCTTTGCCGTGCTAGTTCGTTCAATGAGTTGTGGCAGCCCGAAACTTTCAGCGGTATCCATCCCAGTATGGCTTCAGCCTTTGAAATATCAGATCACACAAGGGCCAGTCTGTTGTCCACTCAGGTTGGTCTGTTTTTTGTGTTTGTGAAGTTATTGTTTCTCTGTCGCTCTCTCTGACAGTCACCACTGTGAAGCATTTTTGGCTTCCTAGAACGAATCCACTCCATTCGAATCAAACGCACTCTTTGGTTCCTTTAGGACGGAAGACTAGTGGTTGTTCGTAAATCTGTTCGTTTTTTTTGAAAAATTGTTAGTTATGCAACCAACTATTTCGCACTTTTATGCAGCCGTTTTGGTTGCTATCTTTTGATTACCCATTTGGAGATAGGATTAGAAGGAAGAAGTGGAAAGCTTGAAGCAGTATCGGCGTGAAGATAGCGATTCAGGTAGACTCTGGTCAAGAAGAGATTAGATAAATGCACGAGCACCACTGTTGGTGACATTCAGCCACATCTCTCAGTTAATGAATCAACGCTGATTACATCATTACACATCATCGTCTGTATTATCCTTTCGGCGGGCATTGAGTTCAGGGAAGGTTTGGGTCCTATGGTCCATGCTATGACTAGTACTATGTTCGATAATTGTGTTAACTCTGTATTGTTTGGTAGATTATCTCCGTGTGAATGTGTTGAGTAGCAGAATTACTTACATAGCTTCAAACGGCCCATTACGGGTTCCTGCATGTCCGAAAATTACTACATTGTTTCATTTGAACTGATGTCCATCTTTGTCAATACGTTCACTTAAGCTATCTCCGATCAACGAATCACGGTTCAGGAATTCCTTCTTCAGCGACTGTCGGACATCACACTTTTTTGTTCTTCGATTTTATACTGTGTGCATCCTCAGGTCGCTATTGATTTGCGTTCCTATCGAATTGTATATGGCTATTGTGCTTGGCCAGGTTTCGGATCATCAGGTATTTAAACGTTCAGATGAAGCAAAAGTGGAAAACTGTCAAAATATTCTCCCGTCCTATATGTTAACTCCTCAATAAGTTTCCAGCTTACGGTTCTCGATTCCAATTGCGCTCGGTTGTCAACCACAGTCCTAGTCAGATCATATTGATCGCAGAAACTCGAGTGGTTTCTTTCACTTCGCTCATCAGCACAAAATTTTAACTATGTATTATTCGAGACCAAGAAGAGGCGCCGTAGGATGATTCCTTTAGATATCGGCAGGTGCCTCGTGTCAGTCAGTCAGTCAGAATAAAGTGAACTGATCTAATATGAATGAGCGGTTAAACACTTGACGAAAGTAGAGGTACAAGAGCATTTTTGTTTAAATGTGAGCTGGTTTCTTTTAATTGGTCATTAGATCCTCAAGAGGTTTTGGCAACCTTTATTCTTCCGTTTTCCAAATGCTGTATAACGAACACACCCTGTCTGGTGATGTGTTTTCAGTGGAATCCTTTACGATCTGTGACACTGACTTTTTAACTGTCACTGATCTACAATTATTTGGCGTTGTTTGCGTTTGGAACGCGGTCAGTCTAATTCTTGATACGTTCAAATGCTGTATCGCGTAATAAAATTCTCAATCATCCGGTGTAAGTGGCTGACTACCCGAGTAGAACTCATTATTATTATTAATAATATATTTCACACTTATCTAACGATAGACTGTGTGCCAGGCAAATCATGGTACAAAAGTCTTTATAAAAAAGGAAAAAAGCCTTCCATAATTGGCTTATGGGCTGAATACTGCCAGGCTGCCCAGGCGAAGGCAGATCAACTAACATAATTTAATTTCAAAGAGAAGGACATATGTGTTTTAACCGGTAATCTCGGCATTTTGAGTGTACCGCAGAAGTATAATCAGGCAGTTTGCAAAAAACATGAAAGCAAGCATCATCATAAACGAGGTACTAGGTAATGTTCAACTTGTGCCACACCGGGACATAATAGAGTTATTTTATTTTTCCTACTTGTACGGGATTCCCTTCTACTAAGGGATAAGTCTGCTCCATTCATGTCGCGGAACATTACTGTCCCTGCGCGGCCGTCTGAGGCCAGCTCAGCGCATATCGCGACCCGTTTTCTTTTCCATTGCCGGACCCCGTAGACCTATTGGGAGCCCAGGGGCTCCATGGCTTTCTCCTGGACGTTAATCTTGGTCTTGGGGTACTCACTAAGGCGACAGTGCCGGCCAAGACAAGGATCAGGATTAGTTGCTTGTTTGATTAATTTCGGCCCCGGTCGCCGTTGAACAAAGTCAAACCCTTGCATGGAGCAGCTTCCGAGGAGGATAGACAGCTTTTCAGTGCCACATCTTACAATTGCCTCTTTCTGGAACAATACCGCACCACCCAACTTTTAGAGTTTGAGACAGGCACCCGTGATCGAATAACTCAGCTCACTGCTGCCAGGTTTCAAGTCTAGACATTATGAACCGGGAATAGAAGCTTATTTTACTGGTGTTATACATTTTGAGGTATTGGCAGTACAACGAAATAGCAGTTGCGTACTTCAGCAGGCAACATCTTACCCACACAATTATTTGACACATGTGTTTGCACGGAAATAGCTGTACACCTTTTTTCTGCACATTGACCGTTTATTGGATACTCAGGTTCATTTTAATCAAATATTTTTCTCTTTCTAACCAGCAGGCACAACGCTCGTCTAAGACAGCAGAGAAAACACCGCTGGAACGTTTGCGCGCATGCATCCATGATTGTCACGATAACTTATTTCATATTGTGGGTTCTTTGTTCCTTGGACTACGTACACGCCTTTATCCTCTGCCAACCGATCAGTTGGCCTTGGTTTTGCATCAGGGCTGTTGTGCAGCGTTCGAGCATTTGCCCGATCTGCGATTGAATTCACTAATTCGTATCCTTTCAGTGGTTTATCTCTCGTGAATTCTGTGCTTTAATCTCATACCTTTTGAGAGTATCGTATGTTTTACTTGCGCGAGCTGTGGTCAGCGAAACCAAATGGAGCTGTCATTCCCGAACGGTCAGCTTATCTTGTCGTCCTTTTGCTCAAAAAGCATTCTTTTTTGAATGAACAGATGAGACCTTGCTCTTTGTCAATGAAGGCTCTAAAATACAGTCTCTCCTGCGGATTTCTTAGAAGGAACCCTAATTTATCGCCACCCTAGGGATATCCCCACCAAAGTGACTAGTGGCGAAGTAGTTTGTCCGGTCGTAATCCCAGTGGACTAGCCACTGGCTAAGGGGTTCATTCTTAGTAAATTTTGGCTCTGAAGCCTTCTGGACTCGACCGTTATCGGATGACCTACGCGAGACAGTTCATTTGGAGCCCTAGGCTTTTTCAGTTCATCCGCGTAACTTATCATTTAATGGAGTACGAAAATACTGAATCAAAGTCATTTATAATCTGCTCTGCTAAACCGTGTCCCTCAAACTCACACGTGAAACTTGGAAAGAGATGCCTCAGGTTTTGACCTGGAATCATTTCAGTAAATGCTTCCAGTTACGTTTAACTGTTATCTATCCACCAACTTCCCGCTTCGCGTATCTCCTTCAGACATAATAGATCAATAAACGTGCGGATATGCGTCCCCATCTAGCTTAGTTTAATCTGCTTGGTTCGACCACGGTTCTCTGCAAGTGACTCATCATGTTCTCTTCCTGTTCACTGCTTTATCGTGCTGTCCCGATCACGTTTACGCTCAAAAGAATCATTCATTTTATTTTGTAATGTTGGGTTCTAAGAACCCAAAACCCGAGCCCTGAAACGAAGTATTGAATGCATAATACTCCAATCGGATAGATGTCGTATAACATAGTTGTCTCTGTAATTTTTCAACGGAAACAAAAATTCGAATTACCAGCAGCATTAATTTTGTCCTACATCAAGTCTTGTCGGGTGAATCTTCCTGAAACATCGTGCCATTGTAGTCGTCCACAATCACCAAAGTTTGGATCGAATGTTACTGTTGTGTGGGGTTTATTCGATCGTAGAGATTAGCATCCCCATTTTCCCTCATATAGTTCGCCATTTTAAGTCTCACTATCTCTTTTTCCAGTTTTCACAACAGGTGTTCATAACTAGGAAGATTGAACTTCAGTTACACTAAACGTGGTCAGTTTAAGTCGATACACGAGCCCCACTGTTTACGATACTCTGCCGTACCACTGTATCTCTGACCATGGATGACACTGATCTCGAGGTTCCCATACAGGAGGCCTAACTCAACCTATGTGATCAAATTTTCGGTCGGGGTTTTCATACTTTCATGCCAAATCTTGTTCTGATCATTCTATACTTTCTCCTACGCGCGGTCTATCATCAAACACATCACACATATCTCAACCACTGCAATCCACAGAGCTCAAACACATTACTCTAAGGTGTGTCTACGACTACCTAAAACTCTGCTCTTAACCGCGGCATTAGTTGTTCGGCTGCATCACAGAACTTGTGCAATGCGGACTTGATAGCAGTGTTCGGACATAGTATGATATTTATTTACCATTTTCCTGTAACGGCCAAGTCTCTGCACCAAACAACATTCACCAGCCGAACATTTGCAGCATACACCGGATGCTTAACGGATCACTGAAAGTCGCGACAGCATCGAAGATGTCTCAGGCTAACAGAAACTCACCGGACTTTCTGAATGCATGGCCACATATTACCTGTGATGTGTTCCGCAGGTGAGATTTGGCCTTCTAGATAACAAGAAGCGTCTACTTTCCTATTGCTTCCCGATTCGGGAAGAGGTTGGGAGCGGAACTAGCCCAGTCCTGTACCAACATTTTCTACTTTGGCGACGCAAACGCTTGCTGAACATAGTCACACGATTGCCGGAACCACACAGAAAAGCTTTCGTTTTGCCTGAATCTTCACTTAACAGTCCTCAATTCAGCAGAAATATTTATCTGTTGGTGAATTGTGCTAAACCAAATCAATCTTTTTCATTATTTAAATGTTCGATGCCAGGCACCCTCGCGTTTTTCTCATTTCTTAACGAGTGAACTCGCGTATCAGGAACCGTGATTCGACCTTTTATCCGGAACTGTCCAAAGGAGTATCTTGAGACAGCTTTGGTACCCTTATTACCCCCGATTGTGGAAGCGTTTGTTCAGGTAAGCTTTTTCATCCGGTTCTCGATGGATTCTACTCTGTTCCATTAAATATTCATGGTCGTGCTCAAGATTACGGATCAGAATCATGTTTGTTTGTTTGTTTGTTCGGTCTGGACCTCCTTTTTCCTCTCCTTATCCATAATAGAGATTGGCGTTGTTCATCTGATAGATAAAATTTGCCGGTGTTGGTTTTCTTCATTGTTAACCCAATCATGGTTAGAGACTTGGAATCGCAACCCAGTTTTGACATCATTGTGAGCGCTTGCTGACAAATACTTGTTTTTCATTTGAAGCGCTTATCTTTGTTTCCACACCTCATGCTCTGGTTTGGACCAAGGTGAGGATCCTGCCAATAGCGCTCATCTGTGGGAATCAGTGTACATGATAGTTTTGAGATAAATCTCAATTTTATGTAAAATTTCCAGAATCAACTCTCCCTCTTATTGACTATATTGTTTTTTGAAAATTCCAACTTTTGTCCCTCATTGCTCATTTGATGCTTTTTGTACCGTTCTGTCGAACTACACAACTGAATTCACCCTTTACCCCATCCATTTGTTTTTCCCCTGTCTAGCGTATTGACACTCGCTGGTCTCAGTTATCTGCAATCAGGTGGGTATTACGCTGTTGACAGGGTTCAGTTCCTTGCTGTAGATGTGTTTTTTGATTTGTTTGCCCGTGTTGATGTTTGTTGATTTTCCAGAACATCTTCTATAGAATTTCATTCGAAACACCGAAAATAAGTTTTTGTCAATTGAATTTCTTCATTTCGTTCAACTGACCACAATTCTCTCATCCAGTTTCAGTTTTCACGCCTAATAACCATGCAACTTTATGCGGTGGTTCGTGTCTTTGTGAGCAGTGTAAAAAAAGATAAAATAGAGAATTCCGAGAGATCAAGGTTGGAAAAAGACTGATAAAATGCACAAGCGCTACGG